CACAAACAGTGTGGTTATGAATGATAAGACAGTCTTAACCACTTTACTACAGCCACTAAATGTTTTATGTGAGGACATTCATTCAAAACCAATCAAACATAGAAATCATCATCAGTCTCTGAGCGTCCTCACCAAGTGCATTAACGATTAGTTGAGAGGCCTTGGCTGTTTCAGAACAGCGAGCATCAAATCTGTATCAAGGGCTTTTTCATGGCGTCAAAGCAAAATTGTAAGTGATATAAATGTCTGTTTACCAGTGCTGCCAGAAGCTTCTTTTAGGTTTGATTTTACAAAAGCTGAGCTATAAATTTAAGCATGACCATGACTGAGAAGCATTTAATACACTGTTAAAGTGTAGATCCCTCTTGTTTATAAGCCTCATTAGTGTGTCTGTCAATGTTCTCTGTGTTGACGCTGTTGAATAAATCATTTAGAACACTTCTGAAGTGACTTCTCATAAACAAACCGAAAGATGGGCTTTTTTTAGACTAAGCATCAGTCTGGTAAATCATCTCCTCTCTTTATGTGTGTGTATTTTAACTATATTTGTGCTCCAATCAAAGCCATATTCTGCCTCAATCTTAATATTTCTCATTGTACAATTATTCTATAAACAGACACCATCTTTAGATGTGCGGTTTAGACCAAACGTGCAGTATAGGCCTGTCTCTATAATTACATTATCGTATTATCACGGTCAGAAATAAAGATTGAGCTCATACAATATTGACCTTGAGTTAACATGTGTGTTTGTTTACATAAGAGTATCACCAATATTTCAGCCAGCACGGTGCTTGAATAAACAGTTGGGTGTTCTCAAACATTGCAAGACTTGGACGCAGCGCCACAGCTTTTTTTCACAACTCCTGAACCCAATTTAAATAAATAAAAATAAGAAATAAAACTATGCTGAGTTTTATCCATTTAGATTTTTTCCCATTCCTATTCCAATGTCTGAATACTCCTAAGAATTAGCTGTTTTTGCTCATTGAAAGGGTGTTCTTATATTATGCTATTTTACTGTCATTATATCATTGTCATAAGATAGTCTGAAGATGGCAATAATGTCGTTTATTGCATTATTTCCGGGACAATATATCGTCCAACAAAAGCAGTTATCATGACAGGCCTAATTATATTTAACGCTACAGACTTGAATTAAACAGCATCCATTTTAGAAGGGTGAGCACATTTTGACATGCATGCTGCAAACCGTGAAGTCTGCAAAAATGGAGAATTGATACAGAATTGAGCCTTGCATATCCCCGTTGACTGCTATCGACTTTTGACAAACATGTATTGGTTTAAACTCACTAATTCCAGCATGCATGAACAAATCAATTATTCTCGGAGTGATGCATGTTTCAGTAAAGGCGTCTATGATGTTTGCTGCTCATGTGCGCTAATCCATAATTCTAGTCGACTGCACCTGCTTTTAAAGATGCAGACTGTGGAGTTGGCTAATGCTAAATTACAGTGAAGTAAATATGTAACACATGACATAAGACTGAAATGCAAAACATCAAAATGATACAACAAACGCTAATGATGTGTTCTGAAAAAGAGCGAAGACATTATATCAGATCATTAATCGAGACTGTGCAGTGAAATACACATTTATATTTCTCACATATGCAGAACTGTTAAGCTAATGCATCTGCACAATGATGGTATTACACGTGATGGTTCTTTCTTGCAGTAGGGGCTTGGGTCGGGAACCGGAGGGTCACCTGTTCAAGTCCCCCTATGGACCAAGTATGGAGCATGGACTGGTAGCTGGAGAGGTGCCAGTTCGCCTCCTGGGCACTGCCGAGGTACCCTTTAGCAGGGTACTGAACCATAACAGCTGGGGGTGCCTGTCCAAGTCAGCCCCCTCACTCTGACACCTCTACATTTAATGCACACATAGGTCCTGTTTGTGCATGTGAGTGTATTTTGGGTCTGTGTGTATGACAACAGAGTGAAAAAATTAGATTACATATCATCTTCTTCTTCTTCTTCTTCTTCTTCTTCTTCTTCCTCTTCCTCTTCCTGTTGGTGGTGAGCTGAACTCTGTTTGTCTATTTGTGTAGTCGAGATGTTACAAGGGTATGTCGATGTGTGTTTGAAAGAGATGAGGAGAGTCCGGCTTGACTATCACTCCTGAGGAATGCCTCCTACAGCACATTTTTCTAAAAAAAAAAAAAAACTATGGTGGCTTAACAGAGAGAGTCCTGCAACAAAGATGGTCGGTGTGATCCCACAATGATCAGTACATTTTAGGAGTATCTTCCTGATTCAGAGTTGCAGCCCCATCTCAGGGATTCTTCCCCGGCTCCCCTGAAGGCTGCTTATATGTTACATTTATTATACATGATCAGAATTTCACAGAGCAACACACCAAAAGTGACCCTTCAATTACTTTTGCATTATCATGGGTGTCATATGTTACGGGGGAGGAATCAACACAGAAAATACGGAATACAAAAGCTCTCCATGGGGCGTCAGTGGCTTAGTGGCTAGGGCAGGCGCCCCATGTACAAGGCTGTTGCCACAGCGGCCCGGGTTCGACTCCAGCCTGTGGCCCTTTGCTGCATGTCATTTGCTCTCTCTACCTTCCCCCTTCAATTCAAGCCCCTATCAATTAAAGGCCAAAAAAATGCCCCCCAAAAAAGCTCTCCAGATGGGTCAGAAAAGTACAAAATAGGCTCTTCAATGCAAAGTAGATAGATATTTTTGATACGCTCAATCTATTCTAAAAGGCAGGTGCTTCCCTGGGCAGTATCAAGAGCCTCATGCTGATGTTCTGCTAATATACCTGCAAATACTCTGCACTGCACCACTGGCCATGAGACTAAACAATTGTGGGATGCTACACTATTTATATATACCTATTAAACACATAAACATCTGCAGGTAGCCTACTAATGTCCTGTCCTATCTGAGGCTGAACAATAGGTGAATAGAAATCACATGTGAATGCAACCAACAACCAGGTGGAAACTCACAATACATAGACCCCTATGCACAACTATATAAATATATCTATATATATGTGTGTGTATTTATTTTTGTGTTCCTTTGCCTCATAGTGCCTGCATGTGAGCATGAATAGAGCACATTAAAAATTGATTTTCCCTTTTCTAATATGAACAGCTCTCTATCACAGTTTAAAGTCTTTCATTAGCTAATCACTTTATTTTTCTGTCTGTTATCAGCCTGAAAACTCAAATCACTTTTTCTTGCATTGCACTTCACACAATCACTGAGGGTTGTCAAAGATGTAGTTTGCCCTGTGATGCTATATCACAAACAGCCACAAGAGGAGGTAGGAGACAAGCACATGACTCGCAGACAGAGACGGGCTCAGTCACATGTTGTCTTCAAGTAACATACAAAACCACTAAGAGGCCCAATCACTGTCAGACGACCAGCAACTAACAATGACAAAAACAGATCCCCACAGCAACAGCCATCAAGACGAGAAGACAAGAGCATTTACTGAGTTCCCCCACCACTGAAACACAACACCCCTTCAGTAAGTAGCACAAACTCGATGTTTCACAAGAGACTCAGAGCCACCGCTGCCAATCTGCACTTCATTAGGCTGATTGCTTGCCTGTGTAAGCCACTCGCTTTGCCTGCCAGTTCCCCCTGCCTTGTTGTGATTAAAGGGGAACCTCGTAAATGCGCTGCTGCCTATAAACAATTTCCTCATTACATCAAAGTCACACGGAAGTTGTAAGCTGCTCCTGTAATTGCAACAAAGCACAGGCACCTTTTAGCAGCCACCAAACTCACCCTGCGGCTCTGTTAAAACGGCCACTAAACTGGGGAAGTCTGGTGGAATCTGGCTGATTCAAACCTCAGTCAACAGAGGTCATTAATATTAGATTTAATGAGGCAGGAAGAACATGATGCTGATGAGGAGAAGAGCAGCAGCAAATGAGTTGTTACTGTTTAAGTAAGATAATATTAAATACATATAATTTTCCCGATCGACGCCTCTGCCACAAGCAAATTAAAAAAAAAAAAAGTTCTGGATTTTTTCCAGCTGAAATAAAATGATTTGGCAGAAGGTGAAATTACAGACAATAGTTTCAGGTTGTTAATCCCTAAGTACCATCCTCCTATTATGTAGATAAGTGCTGTTGTGCATTCTCACGCTACTGTTATGAAACTTGAATAACTCTGTGATGGTCATAAATACAGCTAATGATTACCAGAGAGACAACAAACAAAACATCATTATAAAAGTGTATCTACGCCTAACAAAAAAAAAAAAAGAAGTTTGACCAGAGTGATTAAAGGCAGCCCAGTTATAACGGGAACTATCTGTGAAGTGGCTTAATTTATGGGTAGCATTTATGGTTTGTCAATTATTGTCCTGAACTGACCACTGTCTGAAGCACAGATGGGAAACACACACACACACACACACACACACACACAGAAGCTGTATCTGCAAAAAATGCATAACACAGCTGGTTTCACTGGTTAACCACTAAAAAAATGTTCTTTTTTTAAATGTCTTAAGTAAACGTAGCTGCACATGTTTACATATTGCTCATTTTATTTTCTACACATAAAATTAAATGTCATTTATTTAAAAGAAACAGTCCGAAAAGCTTTAATTGATTTGTTCATTCGACTGATAAAACATCGGTGGACAAAAAAAAAAAATATAAACTGCATAGCACAATATAAGCCCTTTCAAAGGGACGTTCAGGAAGAACAATATAAATACACTTTTGGTCAGAACTTTTGTACCATATTCTCACATAAATAGATAACATGAGGCATTCATACATTTCCAGGAAATTTATATGTCAGAGAGAATAAATATGTCTTTGCTTTATAGTTGTGTGGTGAGGAAATGGAGTGATGAACATGTTTATCTTTATTGCTAGAGAGATAAAAGATGAAAAGAAGTCTGAACAGAAAACCGTCTTGTGTTGAAGAGCACACAAACCTGACTTTGTCTTTTTGGAAATGAAAAGGAGAGCAGTTCGTGGAAGTAATGAATGCTTCACTGATATGTTTTATTTGGCCTGAGTTGCTGTAACACTCGTCATCCACACAAGCGTACAAAGTGTCTCGTCTTTAAGGCCCTTTCCAACACAAGGCACTGTACTGAATGAAGAGAAAGGCTTAAGTGAAAAGTTTAACTGTATTATTGTGCCCAGTGCAAGTCTTCGCCCAGCTCAATTATTGCAAAAGTAAACATGTGAAGAGTATAAACAGCTGGACAGTAACGCCCCTCCTCATATAGATAGGTCATGTAAACAAGCAGTCCAAAGGGGCAAGAAGACATTTAAGGTTTTTTTTTTATCCTTGCTGTTGGAAAAAATAGATTCTTATTTGACTTGAAGAGCTTGGGAAGTTGATTCAAACACTCCTTGTGCAGTTGATATATTATAAACATTGATTCTCTAAATGTCAGCCACACGTCCTCTGTGTCCATTTTTGGGAATCCTTTGGAACACGTCACCAAAGTCAGTGATATTTCCATGTTTATGATAAGTGGTACATGCTGTAGCCCAGAGGAGCAGCGTACAGTCCTAAAGGTGAGATGGGCAGTATGGGTCTGTGGTGGTGGTGATAGGCAGAGTACGACTGTCCGTACAGTGACATGGCGCCCAGCGACAGCGGTAACGTAAAGCCAGGGTGTAAACCTCCTGCGGCCGCAGCCGCCACCGCAGCCGTCTTGGCGTCTGCAGCCATTTTGAGTTTCTCCAGCTCGGCCTCCTGGAGCCTCTTGGCTTTTGCGCGGCGGTTCTGGAACCAGATCTTCACCTGGGTCTCCGTCAGGGTCAAAGAGGAGGAGAACTCGGCCCGCTCTGCGATGGACAGGTACTGCTTTTGTCTGAACTTCCTCTCCAGGGCCAGGAGCTGAGACGTGGTGAAGGGAGTGCGGGGCTTTCGGTTGGTCTTGTGTTTCCTCAGTGGACAGCCAGGACTGACGTGACCTATGAGAAGAGACAAAGATTTAAAAACTGAGAATAAGTTGAATTCAATTGACTTTTAGAAAAGTCCACTGATTTATTGTGGATTTTGAGTGTAGAACATACTGATCAGTTGGCTGTTCTTTAACAAAAATAGCTGAATTTATTAAACTTCAAGCTGAAATTTGGATATCAGGACACATTTTCATCTTTGAGGCCATACTTTCTGGGTATGCCACATATTTGGATGTGTCAAAGTACTTCCTCACACATTAACCCCAAATATACTGAGTGATTGAGAGTAGTTGCCTCACTTTGCACAGCTTCCAGCCTTTCTTTAAACACCGCTATCCAACATGAGAAATCTTTAAAGCACCTCTTGTAGAGAATCATTTACCAATAAACTGCAAAAAATGCTGAGAAAGGAAGTTCGTCCACTAGACTGCCAAATGTAGGCTATTTGTTCAAACTTTAAAGTAACTCAAAGTTTTGTCGGCTGCAGGATAACATTTAGCGAAAAAGAAACATAGAAAATCACAGAAGTTTGAGAGTGCTTCATCATGTAGGAGAAACTTACGCGGCGGCTGTGTGCCATACGCGCTGTTGGTGACCCATGGTGCGCACTCCTCTGACTCTGAAGCCTCGGATTTTACCGGCGATGCAGACAGAGCCTTTCGGCTTCCCCCGGGAGGACTACACGTCTCTCGGTACAGATAAAGGGAGTTTAAACCTGCAGGAGACGCCACCACGGAGCCTCCCTCGGGTTTACAGCGGATGGACTCTCCGCCGCGGCCGCCCGTCTTCCTCCCGGACATGAGCGCCTCCACGCTGAAAGGATGATGATGCCGACGCACCACCGGAGATGTCTTCTCCTCCGCCGTCACATCTGCCAAGTCCGCACGGCTGCTGTCCTCCTCGGACGAGCTGCTCCCCGAGTCGTTAAATGTCTCCTGAGAAGCCATGTCTCCTCCGGGTCTCATTCAAAAAAATAAACAGGTGAACTCCGCGCGGAACAGTCAAAGGGCGGCCAGGTGAGACCCGCTCCGGCGAGCGCTGTGTTGTGGAGCTGTCAAGGAGTATGTGGGAGTAAGTAGACGCATGACGTTGACACGGCTCAACTTTGACCAATCAGTGCAGCCCGGAATGTTTATGGGTGCGCAGATGCTGCATTCAGGGACTGTGGGAGACTGCAAGTGTTTTGTTTTGTTTTGAGCAGTGCAGTGAAACAGACCTTAAAAAACATTATTTATTTTTTTGTATTATTATTATTGTTATTATGTGACCAATCCACTTCAGTGTCACTTCACGTTCTGAGAGGGATATGCTGAGTACTTAAAGGCAACACTTCACTTCCTATGCAGGTAAAAATAAAAATAAAAAAGAAAATTTAAATTCTATCTTCATTCAATTTATTTCCAGCTAGATCACCAGAGAAAAATATGGAAACTTTTACCATGAGTTTCACTTCTCCAAGCTTTTTTTTATCGTAACAGCTGTTCAGTTTTGTGTCATGAAAAATGTCCCCATGGGTGTAAAGTAAAGCCTTTGAAGTCTGTAGCTTCACCTTGTTCTGTGAAAATCAAGATTTCTTTCAAAACTTGAAATGATGCCACAGTTGGGCCTCATGCTGCCTCTTTGGTTTGATAAGTGAATTGAGGGAAATAAACCAGAAAAAACAATAGCAGTGCAACAGCATTATCACAAGCTAAGCTCCAGTAATGGATTAGCTCTAACGCTAACCTCATGAGACTGCGTGTGTAAACACGGGCCCCATGTGGATAATTATGGAGAATTATACCCGGGCTGAAACTCTGATCCCTTTTCTTCTTTATCTGTCTCTCTGATATGTTTGCTGTTCCCTTCAATGGGACTTTCCATTGTAACTCCCAGTGCCGTGTGCTGTGTCAGTGAGTCCGGCGTGTAAAGAAGGGAAAATTGCTTCTTTAAATTACAGATTTAGTTTTTAAAGTCCAGCTGGTGTCTGAGGCGCGATCTAGATGAGACATCCCCTGTAGCTGACTCATTCATCTTCTTGTCCTATGATTCATTTCGATTCTCCACGCACATTACACATGAAGTTGCTCATTGTGATCCTCATGAAGTAACTCTTTGTGATTTTCTTCCATGAGCAATTTCACGTTATGTCAGATGAAAGTGCCTGACTCCTCATGGAGAACTTTACACTTGTTCCGGCAGTTTATCTGAAGAAACGGCCCTTTGATGATGGCTGAAATATTTTAAGCTGAAAGGATGTTTCACTTATCTCAAGATTTTTTTTTCCCATGGTCACACTTGTTTAAGGACTTTCTTATCTGTCGCCTAATTGCTCATATTTAACACCCATGCCATTGCTAATTGGAACCGTTCTGCTGCTGAATTATGATTAATCGCTATTTGACATCACAAGGCCTGATCCACACTCTTAATCTGCCAATGTCTTAGTGGTAGAAGCAATGGGAGTGTAATGTTTGTGTGTGTCCCTCATACGCAGCCTCCGACTCCCACAAGAATAAGTCCTCCTCAGATTCCTTCAACCTCTCTGCTTCTCAATATAGCCATTCTCTAAAAAGGGCAAGCTGCATACACTCTCCAACATCCCCATGGATAGATTTATATATATATATGTAGTAAACACTTCAATTTTTTTCCGCATTTTTACATGTAGCCAGCAGGCCTGAGGAGCTTGTCTGTGTCAGACTGTGGAGCAGAGCTCAGTTCCCAGGAGGCTGCCACTGCTGCCTTATTAAAGTGGGGTTATTTCACAGACAATCAGAGGTTTGTGAAGGCGCCAGTGAGCGGCCAGATGAAAGGACTGACTCCTCAGGGGAGAAACTGTTGCCTTTTTTTTTCTCTTTTTTTTCTTGCAGCTCTGTTCAGGATCCCCACCTCACTCCTCCTCCTTCCCCTCCACCCCTCTCCTTCGCTCTTCTCTGGCTGTGCCCGCACGCCCTACAGGCACCTTGCCAGTCATTATGCACAGAACTCGTTCTTGGCTGAGCGTCAGTGGCATGTTTCCTCCTCGCCTCCCTCCCGTCTTCTTACTTGCACCCTTTTATGCGTGCTGTGTTTAGTTTAGTCATTTATCTTTATCGATTGCATTTTATTCCTTCCTTCCTTCCTTTCTTCTTTTCTCCACCCTCAAACATGTGACTTTAATTTTTTTACTTCATGTCTTCTCTCATAAATTCTTTACTCCTGTCCTTGCCTCATGTTTTTCTACTGACCCTCTTGTCCTTCCCTCCTTTCTGTCATCCTTTCATTTCACATTCTATCTTTTTTTTGCCATATTTGATTTCAGTGTCACATAAAAACACATCTAAAACAGATTTAAATAGATTATTACAAAATGCATCCATCAGATGAGAAATCTTCGAAAGAGGTGACAAAAAAGAGACTCATCAGAGTTCGCTCTAATAAGGGAAATCATACAAAATTATTCTTGGCTTGTGTGCTAATGTATCTTTCAACCCTGTTGCAAGAGAAATTCTGCCAGTTGCGGATAGTCTAATCACAGAAACTCCTGGCACTCATTTAATTATCTTATTTGGAAAACCTATCTGGCACCAATACGAGCTGCAGCCTGTACTAACGACGCATCCATAAACAGAGTCATGCCCAACTCAAGTATTATTAAATCTGAGGTGATGATGCCTCAGATGCACTGTGAACGTGTGAACGTGTGGGAGCCGATATAAATAAAACACTGTGCATATTGTGTGCATGTTGAATATATTTCTTGACGTGCAAATGCAGTAATGCCACCGCAGCTTTGTGTGACCAAAGAAGATTTTGCAAGAGAAGAAGAAGGAGGAAAAAAGGAAGGAAGGAAGGAGGAGGAGGGGTAGAAATGAGAGGGGTGCTCTCCTGGGTGTAGCAAAATTACCCACACATCCCACTTCCTTTTTTCCATAATATCATTTAAGCCTGATAATAGCTAAAGCAATTTGTCTGAGCATGTTTTTGTGTGTGTGTGTGTGTGTGTGTGTGTGTGTGTGTGTGTGGATGTCCGTACAGTATGTGTGTGACAGAGAAGCTTGAGAAGCCTCTGGTTGTGTGGGTCGGGCACACCTCAGAGCATTGTAATTACAGCAGAAGCTTTGAAGTGGTGGAATGTTTGGTCGGAATAATCAGCAGGCTGTTCTGCACTCACACACTATTTACATTCCCATTAAAACACTCATTCATGCCATCATACCAGCAAATGTTACCATTATACTGATACTTGCTGTAAGTGCACACTTTGGGAAGTAACATGTTAAAATGTAAAACGTGCAGCACCATTTCAGTATGTAAATTAATGTAATCCTATCCAGTATTAGTTGGCAGTTCCTCTTGAAGTTTGGCTTTTATTTTGCCACTTCTAGTTCTCATTCAGAGTTTAAGACCTGACTTGATCGGTGTGAACATACTTATAGACAAATATGTTTTCAATATCAATATATACACCGCAGTATGTTCATTATTTTAGGTTAGAAAACATTTGCATGAACTACACAATTTTGCAAAATGATAACATGATTAGCTCCCCATGACAGAATTTCAGTAAGACAAGTAACTCGTCAAACCAGTGGGGCATGTTGTAAATAACTAACTGACACATTCACACTCAATGTAATCACATTGTGTTCGCTCACATTCAAAAGGTGTTAGTACTGTCACCAACCCCACCCCTCTCTCTCTCCCTGTCTGAGCTCCAAGCCCTCAGAACCTCCGCCTGTAATGCACCTAAATGACTACCTTGAATGCTACAATGGCGCCAGGGCCAATTAGCTGTTAACACTGGAGACAGATCTATTCAGAAGCCAGAGAATGAGGCCTCCTGTAATGTGAAAGATTGATGCCCACTTTGCTAATGACAAGAGAAGGAGGCAATCTGTTGCTTGACTCAGCCCTGGGCTATGTTACGGGATAGTCAGCTGATGACTGTGAGCCTGCAGGGGAGGGCTTCTGAGAAAATTGGAGTTTAGGTCACTATTGGGGTTAAATGGGGGACATTAGCACACATATAGATACGTGCACATCCATGTAAATATGCAGTTGGTAGCAAAAAAAAAAAAGAAAAGAATTAATTTAATTAATATACTGCTGGCAGTGTTGCAAAACAGTAAGCAGGACAGCTTTTTGGCAACATCTGAGTTACGGGATTTTCTCATACGCAATCTCCAACTCAACTTTTTTTTTCAGCACCTGTCATACAAATATGCAGCCCAAAGTGCTTCACATAGCAACAGTTGAGAAAACATGAAATAGAGTAGCTCAGTCCATAGAGACTTGGGTTGGGAACTGGAGGGTCACCTGTTCAAGTCCCCATCCAGACCAAAATATGGAGCGTGGACTGGTAGCTGGAGAGATGCCAGTTCACCTCCTGGGCACTGCCGAGGTGCCCGAACCCCCCAACCGCTCGGAGCACCTGTCATGGGCAGCCCACTCTGACATCTCTCCACTTAGTGCATGTATAGATCCTGTTTGTGCATGTGTGTGTTCGGACCTGTGTGTAACTGACAAACGGAGTGAAAAATTGAATTTCCCCTCAGGGATTAATAAAGTATATAAAATAAAAACAATAAATAAATAAAAATAAAAACAAAAATAAACAATAGTAATTACAATTTTGCGAGAATAAAAATTACAAAAATAAAATGTAAAACATCAATAGAATAAAATCAGTAAACACCAGGGGAAAAAAGCATGTCCAAATCAAGTAATAAACCTTATAAACTAAAAGGCTATGACATAACTAAGTATTACTTTGATTAAGAAAGTATGTAATTCAGTGTATTAGCCAAAAACAGAAATCCCCAAGTAATTATATACTGTACACCTGCTGATACAGAATACATCTTTATATATATTTACAATTACAGATATACACACATTCAGTTCAGTACACATTAATGGCCTCACAGCCAAGCTGGTCAAGTTTGTTAGTAGGGGTGTAAATCACCAGTTTCATCACCATACAATATTATATCGTGTTTTGGACAACAGTATGACATTTGCCGATATTATAAGTCTACCACCATACGATTTCGATTCAGTGCGATTTAGGGGCCTGCGATCGATACAAGACGATATCATACAGATTTAGACAAAA